CCTCGTCGTCGTCATCGTCGTCCAAGTCGTCCTCGTCCTCGTCCTCGTCCTCGTCGTCCTCGTCCTCGTCCTCGTCCTCGTCGTCGTCGTCCTCCTCCTCGTCTCCTTCTCCTCCCTGGGCTGGATGGCGGCGCCCTCGTCATCGTCGGGAAAAGGTAGCAGGAGGAGGAGGAGGAGGAGGAGGAGGAGGAGGAGGAGGAGCAGGAGCCGGACGAGAAGGAGGAGGACGCCCCCCGGCGGCCAGCGATTGGAGCGAGCAGCCCCTGGAGTTGCATCGCGCCCTGGCGCGGCCCTCGGCGAATCCAGCCGTGGCGATGACAGAGAAGCTCCGAACTGAGCGAGTGCTGCCTGCCTCCAGTGGGCGGTGTCGAGCTCCGGGACCTTCCTCCTCCCCCCTCCCCCCTCCTCTCCCTCCTCCTTGCCCCCCCCTGGCCGTGGCGTCGAGGGTCGTTCAAGATCCCCGAGCGCGGCCTGCCTCCGGAGGGCGCCGTCGGGCCTCGGGACCATCAAAGACGCTCCTCATTTACCTCCCTCCGACTTCCCTCCCTCCCCCTCCTTATCCTCCTTCCTTCTCCTCCTGCTCCTCTTTCTCCTCCATTTTCAATCGAACCTCGATCCTCGACCTTCGATCGAACCTCGGTCCTCCATCCTCGATCCACCCTCGATCCTCGATCTCCGATCGGACCTCGATCCTGAATCGAAATTCTACCGTCGCTGAAAGCTCCATCATGGATCGTCGATCGAAATGTCGATCCTCGACCCTCCATCCTCGATCTTCGATGCATCCTCGATCCTGGACCCAAGCTCCTACCTCGAGAGATCCTCAATCCTCGCTCCTCGATCGAACCTCGAATGTGGACCTTGGATCCCCGACCCTCCATCCTCAATCCTCGATCGATCCTCGATCCTCGTCCTCCTCGTCCTCATCCTCGTCTTAACCCCGTGATGGACTGGACCCTGGCCCTGGTCAGGGGGTAACGTACATCGATAAAATGTGGCACGGAACGCAAGACGCCTGCGGCGCGTCACCGCCGCCCCTTGCCCCTTGGAAACGCCTGTGTGGTGAAGCTCGTGGACTGCGCCTTCCCCCTGGCCTCTGGGAACACCATTGGTAACACTGGAGGGGACATCTTGGGGCTATCTGGGGGATGTTTTCTGACCAGTGCGGGCTTCTTGGGGGCTCTCTTGGGTCATCTTGAGGCTCCCGTGGGCCGTCTTGGACCTTCTTGGGCTGTCGGAAGCTTGACAAGACGGGGTCGCGAACATGTTCATAAACATAACAAGCATCCATGATGTTTCATTGTCGTGGCTGTGGTCTTCTTGGGATGAGTCTTGGGCGCTCTTGGCCTTCTTAAGCTCTCGGCCTCTCGAGCCCACGGCCCTCCCTGCTCCGCCCCCTATTGCTCTTCCCGCCGTCAACGTCCAGGCTCAAGCTCTGGCGCCCCGCGCCATGAAGCGTTGGGCCAGTAGACCTAGATCTTGGGCCGCATCCGCTGCAGCTGGTGACCCAGCTCCCGTGGTGAGGCCCGTGGCTCCGCTGGCGTTGCCCGCCACCGCTCCCCAGCGCCAACGGAAGAAGCGGAAGCGGGCCGCTGCGGCGCCCCTCCCAGAGGCCACCACCGATGACCAGCACTTAATAGATTCTGCCTCGCAGACGTTGCGGGGCGCGCGGGCCCCAGCAAGCGCTCATGTGGACCAAGAGGTCCGCCGGGCAGTTCGGCTGCAGGCGGGCCGCACGCTACCGGCTTTGCAACGGCTGATGTCCTGCAATCTCCCCCGGCACCCCCTGGCTCTGAACACGGGCGGAGACCTGAGCCCGGCCGCGGGTCTCACGGCCACGCTGGCTGGAGAAGAGGTCTACATTGCTAGTACATTCACCTTCAGGGGTTTCCCGAAGTGCGACTGCGCCGTGGTGGCGGTGAAATCTGGGCCTTGCAGTTCGACGCACGCTGTGGGCCCATGGCAAACCTGCCTGGCTTCGCAACTCACGGACGTCAAATACAAGTTCCACGTGGTGTGCATCCGAAGACAGAAACCATGGTTGACATACACGGGCGAAGATAGCCCGCCCGCCAGTGTGCACGACTCCTTGGTTCGGTCCCAGCATCACCTTCACAGCCTGCGGCCAACGCAAATAGGTGAGGAGGCAACCTCGACAGCTTCGGCATCGACATCCCCCCGGGTATGTCTCGTGCGCCCTCAGGCCGAAATGGGCCATGCGGCAGCTACCGGCCACGCGGTGGCGCCGCGCGAGGCGCGAGACATGGGGCGCTCGAGCCAGATGGCGGCCGTCATCTGGGACCACCCTTCACCAGTGGAGCTGGATATCCGGTCATGGACGTGCAGGACGTGCCATGGCGGCGGCGGCTTCAGTGAGCCCAGCGCGGGGGCGTCAGCGGAAGGCCGTTATTTCGCGCCGGCCCCAGAGGACGCGCAGCGATCCCACCCAGGCACTTTGTGCTACAGCGGTGGGAAGGACGGCGGAATGACATACTTTACCAGCAGGTGGCTCGCGCACTACTTGACGGTGTTGTACGAGTGCATGAACTTCCGGGCCGCTCGCCGCCGCATGGTGGACGTGCTGCTCGCGACCGCCTTGCCTGGGTCAGCCGCCGAGTACCGCATCATGAACTTATTGGAGTCCCTCCCCAAGTCGTCTCAGCTCCGGGGCATCGCATGCCAAGCCTTCTCGGCTCTGGTCAAGCGGAGAGTGCACGAACAGCAGCAGCACCTTTTCGCGTACAGCGGCCAAGGCATCCGTTTAGACGGGTACTTCAAGGTGGCCAAGATAGTGATGACATGGAATTCTGAGACCCGTCGGTGGGAGAGGGGGAAGTACACCTGCCTGCTGGGGTTCTGCGGGTCGGACGGCGCCCCCCTGCAACCAGCAGTGCCGGCGCGGGGCGAGGCCTGGGCAGATATCGAGGCTGCCTTGCGCCCTTTGCTGCGGTCCATCATCGCGGGGAGACTTGCGGCTGGGCTATCCTTGGAAGAATCCATCCCCGTCTTCGTGTCCACCGACGGCTTCGGGAAGCACCGATTGAAATTGCGCGGCCTCCTCCGCGATGTGACGCAGCAAGTTCGGCTCCAGCCTGAGGGCGTGACGCCGCGAGGCCCTGTGGAGCGCGTGGAGGCGGTGGGCGCCGACCAGCGCCCTTCGGACCGCCTGACCTGCGTGGCGGGCGAGCCTCGGCACAATGTCATCAGGTTCAGGCCCCTGGTGTCCCCTCGCGCGGACGACGGCAGGAACCTTCTCCGGGACCACGAGGACCTCCTCAACCGGCTCAGCGCCCCCAAACGGCCTGAACGCTGCAGCCGGGAGAGCCGCCTGAGCGCGCGAGTGCCGCGGCTCAGCGCGGCTGGGCGCGCGTTGCTGAAGAAGACCACCGAGATGTCTGCCAAGGCCTTCGAGAGTTACCTCCCCCCTGCACCCAGCGCCGCGGCCTCGGCCGCGAAAACATTCCTTGCTTCGCCCGCGGTCGCCCGGGCGACAGCCGTCTGGGACTCCGTTTGCAGCGCCCAGCCGCCCCGCCCGGCGCTGGCCCGTCTGGCCCGTCGCTTTGGTGTCGACGCTGCCGAGACGCGCGGCTACTGGAACTTCGATAACAAGAAAGAGTTTAAGAGAGAGGCTCGCATGATCCAGGACTGCTACGCGGGGGGGGGGCAACTCACCCGCCCCCGGCGAGGCCTCAACCGCACGCACGGGGACGCCGAGGTGAAGGGCAGGAAGAGTGCGTGGACGAGAAAAACCTCAGCACACTACAGGCGACTGGTTAAGCCCTTGTGCTTACAGGGTCTTTTTCGGTGGCGCCGCTGCGCGCTGGCCCTGCACAGGGCCGGCTACCCCGTCCATTCCGGGGCGATTCCCGTCGAACGCCACTGGATGCAGTTCAGGAGTTACTTCCCAGAAAGCACGAAGTGGATGCGGGTAGACCTTTTCGACCTCTTCTCGGGGCTCTCGATGCTGAGGTACAACTGGTGCCACTTTAATAAGCCGTGGATCCCGGCGTGGGCGGGCCAGGACCCAGTGCTGCACCAGAAGGCCATGATGCATCAGCTGATGGCTGCCGCCAGGCGCGATTCGAACGCTCGGACTTTCGAGGAGGAGCTGGCGGATGACGACCACGACGACCACGACGACGACGACAAAACGGCGACGACGACCATGCCGACGACCATGCCGACGACGACGAGGGCAGCGGCCTTCCAGGAAGGCAGCGCGCCTCCCATAGGGTTTCGGAGCTGGCCGCAACAGGGCTGCGCGGCCAGGGAGCGCTCGAGCGGCCGATCACGATCGAGGAAGGAGTAGGTTCGAGGATCGAGGGTCGAGGAGGTTATTCGTCGTTTTCGGCCTCTGGAGGCCGCTCTCGGGCCCCAGGGCCGTCGGAAATCGATCCAGAACCGAAGTGCCCTCCTCTGTTCCAGGCTGTCGTTGCTGCTTCCCTTTTCCCTTCCCTCTCCCCTGGGCCCTGTCTACTGGAAATTCGCGCTCCTCCGCCCTCCCGTCGTTGTCCTCCCTCCCGGCATCCCTCGTCATCCTCCCCCCTCCTTCGTCGTCATCGTCATCCTCCCCGTTCCTTCCCTCTTTCTCTCCTTCATCCTTTCTCGTCGTCGTCCTCATCCTCCTCTTCGCACGGCATGTGCCCTCTCCCCTCCCTTCCTGGTCCTGCCTCTGCCCTCCTCCTCCTCCTCCTCCTCCTTCTCCCCCTTTACGTCTATATCCGAAGATCCAAAATACCCGATAGGGTTTTCTTCGTGTTTTCGTGTTTTCATGTCGTCGCCCAGGGCAGCATGTCTTCAACTCTTCATGTCTTCGTGTCGTTGGCCAGGACAGCGTGTCTTCAACTCTTCATGTCTTCATGTCGCCGGCCAGGGCAGCATGTCTTCATGTCTGCATGTCTTCAGGTCGTCGGCCAGGGCAGCTTATCTTCAGGTCGTCACGTCTTCATGTCGTCGGCCAGGACTGCCCAGACCAGCTCACATTACGATCGTCGTCCCTTCATATCTTCATGTCTTCGTGTCTTCATGTCTTCACGTCGGTCTTGGGGAGGTCGTGTCTTCATGTCTTCATGGCGTCGGGCGATCGCCGCAACCCACAGCGGACACGCTGTAACTTACCTTCCCAGGGCAAATCTTGCATTATCCCCGCCAGAACCCCGAACTTTATAATCCCAGGGGGTTTTCGATCTTACTATCAACCTCATGATCTAAAAAATTGTCAATCTCATGATCTATCTATCGATCCAACTATCGATGACACATATTTCGCTCTCGATCTACATCTCGATATTGCCATCGATCGCACGATTGATCTCACTATCGATCTCACCATTGGTCTCACGATCGATCTCACCATCGATCTCACTACGGGACACCGACGGTAGACAGATGGGGCACCGACGGGACACCAGCGGGACGCCAGCGGGGCACCACGGCGGTTCATCACGGCGGGGCACCCCTGACCAACGCCGGACAACACAGGTGGGGGGCGGTCTTTTTGCCCGGCGGTGCCCTTGCCAGAGGAGGGTTCGTTCGTTTCCCCCGCCCACGCAGCTTCGCCTTGCCCGCACGCACGACACGAACACGAAATCGAAACCGATTTCGCGGTGGGGGGCTCTCCGTTCCACCGCGATCTGAACCCTTTTCATGTCTGACACATTCATCTATTCATTGATGTCTACACACACTGTTCATTCCTAAGTATGCGAGAGTTTTTTATCTTCTGGGGTGCCCAGATCCTAACATTGTTTAGTGTTCTATCCTGGGCCTCTTCGTGGTCATTAGTGGGCCAGGAACAATTGAAAACGAGCACAATTAGACAAGAGCAGGCTATGAAATGAGCGACGTGTAATTTATACACACATATGTATATTATGTATATATGCATATATAACTGTAGATCTGTGATCGTTGTCCAGATGATTGTCCCGACGGTTGTCCCGATTGTTGCCCCGATATACGAATTGTGATACCGACAGATAAATGAATTGCGCGATCGAGAAGTAATGGTCCTTATGGTTGCCCTGGATTCTATTTAGGTGTTCATGTATACACGTATATTTAGTGATATTGGCAGACATATTGATTGCGATATTGACAGATTGCTCGTGAGACATATTCAAAGATAGTCCGATAAATAGATAGGCATACGGATTGGCATAATAGTTGTCCCGATGGATTTCCTTGTTGTTCCGATGGGTATTGGCCTTCGCAGATAGATTGATAGAGGGATGAGGCACACAATGAGTTATATTGATGGGTAAAAGGCCATACGGCCAGATCTTCAGGTAGATGAACATTCATCTTGATGTCACGATTTCTGCCCACTCGTGAGTTGAATTCTGCGCCGAATGAGAAGCAAAGATGACGTGCCCAATGCCTTTACCACCCACCAACGAACACGCAAATAAATCCCGCCTCCATCTTCGAGGGTCAAGGGCGAAACTCAGCAGTCCTTCCGTGTCGGCACCTGTCCTCTGCGCATTGGCGCCCGTGATGCCCTCGCAGGGGGCCCGGGCAGAGGGGAGGAATTCCGAAGGCAGTCGGTGGGCGACAAGTTGCGGACCACCTACAACTCGCTCACCAGGGACCTCTTGTGCTGTGTTTCGAGTGGGTGAAGGGGGTCCAGGTAGGAGCAGTGGTAGCCAGGTCACCCGCAGGGGCGCGAGTATACCCGCGTTTCGCGCGGAGATACATTCTTCGCCAAGCGGGCGGCACCAGGGCGCGAAGAAAAATGCATGCGTCGCGCATCGCGCGAAGTTAGGTGGCTCATTTGGTAATATTCGAGGTTTGATGCTAGTTTTGTGTTGTTTTGTTTTGTCATGTCCTGTTTTCTGGACACCTCCAGGAACCTCGGGGACCCTGGAGGACATCCCAAGGTTGTTGTAACCAGACATATGGTGGCCCGAAAGATCAAGACGGCCAGTCTTTCGCCGCTGTAGTCCTTTCGAGCCGATACCTGGCTCACATCTCGGAGCGTCAAGCTGTTGGATTTCTGGCGGCGGGTGTGCAATCGGTTGGGGTGAACGTGAGCGGAAGGTGTGGATGAGGTCGGCACCGAAAGGAGTGTGCCAAACATGCGATCGAAAAGAGGGGACATTTTTATTGGGGTTGGGCGCTGGCATGGGTTGGCGGTGGAGGATAGTTCCCATGTATGCCTGATGCATCTTCCTTGCCCTTATCAATACTCTCATCGTCACCACCACCACCATCAGCATCACCATAGTCATCATCATCACCATAATCATCATCACCATCATCATCATCATCACCATCATCGTCGTCGTCGTCCTCGTCGTCGTTGTCGTCGTCGTCATTGTCTTCCCACTGCAACGATGGCACGCAGCAGCCGCAGTCCTGTGCCTGGCGGGCCGCGGACCCGCAGGAAGCCGCGTGGCCCTCGAGCCTCGGCAGAGAGCTGCGCAGGACGTGCCCCGGAGGCTCGAAGAGGTGGTCCCGGCCCACGGCTCCCCCGCAGCTCCCCGCACCACTGAGGACCTCCGGGGGCCGCGCCCGCCGACGGGGCCAGCCAAGTTATGATTCCTCGGGCGGCGCACGGCGCGCCAAGGCGCCTCTGCGCGGGGACGACGAGCAGACGCCGAGGACGGTGGGCCCCCCACGGGGTCCCAGACCGTCACGATGTTCCGACCTTCCGAGGACGCGTAGCGAGGGGGGGCGAGGATCGGGGGGGCAACGAGGGCTGCAGACAAGGGGCTCTTCAGGGCCTCCTGAAGGGGCCCCTCAGGGCCGCAAAGGGGGCCTGTGGGGCCCGAAAGGGGCATACTTCGTCCCCCCTCAGTTATCGCCCCCCCAAGGATTTTCGCTTCCAAGACCTTCTGGCCATGGGCGCGTAGCGGCGGCACGGAACGCCGCGGGTCGTTTGCCTGACTGCGCCCCAGTGGTCGCCGCGAGGAGACATTGAGCTCATGCATCGTCTGCTGTTGTGCACAGACTGTGCGGACGTTCGTGGTTCTTGACCGGTGCGGCGTCGGGGCTCGGCGGCTCTCCATCCCGCCCGACAGTGTACCGCAGGCCCTCCACCCTGAAAGAGAAGGCAGCGGCGTTCGCCATCATCCAAGCCTTGTGGCCACTCCGATCACGTGGTGCCCCTTCGCGGCCTGCGAAGGCGACCCTTGCTCGTGCAGTCCCGCTGCGAGCATTTCTTTTGGTGAAGCGAGCACGAGGACTGCCCAGTGGCAGAGAGAAGGGACAAGCAGGGGGGGAAGGAGAGAGGGGGAGGAACGGGGACGGCGGGCGCGTGGCCCGCTTCCACGCATGCGGCGGCGCCGCTGCTTCCACTAATTCGCCCGCCGCTTCGGGCGCCCCAGGGCGCGCGGTGAGCCGCGCCCGCAGCGCCGCCCGCCAGTCGGCCTCCGCGCTTCCGGCGCGGGCCGCGGGCAGCAGGAGCAGGCCCGCCGCGCGAGGAGGCAGCGTCGCCGACCTGCGGGCGCACGGCCGGCTCGCCAGCCCCCGCCACTCTTGCCTTGGCATCGCCCGGACGTCATCGGGAAATCAAGAAACACCAGCAATGGACGTCTGAGCGATGGCAAGGTGCCCATCCGTCGCAGCAGAGGCAGGCAACCCAGCCCGGCCCCTTGGACGACGCGTGCGGGCGCCGGGCGTGGTGGCGAACAGCGGCCGAGCCGCGGTCGCGGGCGCGGGCGGGGCAGCTGGCGGGGCAGCTGGCGGCCGGGCCGCGGGGCGGCCGCAGGCCTCGCCGCGCGGTGCAGCGGGGCCAGCTGGGGCCGCGCAGCGCGCGGCGCCGTCCAGCGACGCCGAACTCGCGACTTTGCGGCGCCGCGCGGCGCCTGGTTGGCTTTGAGCGCCGCAAGCTCCACGAGCACCACGGCCAGCGCGTGGAGCTGCTGCGTGCCAGGGCGCAAGCCCCAGCGACAGGCCCAATGCCAGCGAAGCTTGTACTTGAATGTGCCCTTTCGCATTGCGGCGAGCTCCACAGGAAGCATCGTGTGAGCATGGGACACGAGTAATTCTCATTCGCATCTACATATCTGTATGTATTCATGATCCCCTCACCCATGGCCCATCCCCTTCCTCCCCTCTCCAATCCACTGCGCTGCCCTTCCACTCTCCCTACTTTTCATCCCCATGCCCTTGCTCACTCATCCTTTCTCCCCGTCCCCCAGCGCAATGTGTCGCTTCTCCTCCTTCTCCTCCTCCTTATCATCCACATGGTAACATATCCTTCGCTCTCCCATTCCCACCGACACGCACAGCGTGTTGGAGGAACGCTGTGCGTGTCCAGCAAGTCAGTTATATAGTCCCGCGAGTCCCTCTTTCCCCTAGGGATTCCAAAGGAATGATTTTCCATGGCGTGATCGTTATCAGGGACTCCAAAGGACCGATGTTCCATGGCGTGATCGTTACCAGGGAATCCCAAGGAACGATTTTCCATGGCGTGAGCATGAGCAGGAGGGTAGCGTCACAACCTGCCTGAAGGAGAAAGGGAGAAAGAGAGAGAGAGAGAGAGAACAACAAAAAACACAAAAAAACAAAACACATAATCCCTCCAACACGCACAGCAAGTTCATCATCCACCTCATCACCATCATCATTGTCGCCATTTTCCAGCATTGTTCCTCTTCGTCCTCCTCTTCCGTTGTTCTCCAGCGTGGTTGGATATGGAGAGGAGGTGTGTGAGATCGGGGGAAATGGGAGAGTGACGGGTGTAGGCAAGGATGTGATGCGTAGCAGGAAGGGAAATAAGGATAGGGCGATGTGGGTGTGCGAGGGATACAGAGAGAGAGAGGGAGACAGACCGAGAGAGAGAGAGAGAGATGCTAGCATAAGCTTCATTCATACGCAGACCTACATATGTATACACACCAATCGGCCTACATCTATAGAAGAACGTCTGCACCGAAAGAGAGAGAGAGAGATAACAACATAAAGAGAGAGATAATAGAGCGAACGTTCGAGAGAGAGAGAGAGAGAGTGAGGGGTACCGTGCGACACCTATACTTCTATATGTACACATCTGGACACGCATATGAATACTATAAAGATGAACAAAACTGCAGAAAGGTTTACCAAACACGTGCGTGTGAACGAGATGGAGATAGCAGGTTATATATAATATGGCGCGGTCGAGTAGAGAGGGATATTGAGAGATAGTGTGACAGATAACGGGATGACAACCAACAAACCTACAACAACAAACGCATATCTTGGCGAAGCACCCAACCATATGCAGTTTGGGGTGACACAGTTAGGGGTGCCGTCTTCGGTGGAGTTCCCTACGGGGCCACGGCCACGAAACGTGTGAGGGGAGCGCCGCAACGGGTGGAAGGGCGCATGTCAGCTTTGCCATTGGGGCCTTCGGTGGAGCTCCAAATGGGGCCACGAACCTTGTGAGGGGAACGCCGACATCGCAAGCATGGGAGGAGGAGAGGAGGGGAAGGGCGAGAGGAGGAGAGGAGAGGAGAGGTGGAAGGGGAGGAGGCCGCGGGGCGCTGTCTCTTCAGAACCAGGACCCGGCACCACAGGATGGCCGGGCGCAGGTGGGCCACTTCGCCCGTGGGGGCGCGAGGACAGCGAGGCCTTCGCGCCTGGCGGCCTGGGCCTTACAAGCCTGCCGTCGCGCCAGTGGCGGGGCGAGGGCGCGGCGTCCGTGCGCTTCGTGCTTCGGCGCCGAGGCACGGAGCCGGGGCTCCTCGATTCCTCCGGTTCGATTCGACCTCGGATTCCGATCTGGGCCCCGACTCATTACTGGAGGCCCACTACAGCCTGCCGATGTCCGCCGACGCGGCTTCTCCCGACCCGGCCGCCGATTCCCGCCGCTTTGATTCCTGTCGATCGCCGACCCGACTCTTCGATTCGAGTCTTGGCTCCCCTGGGGCCGAGGCGACCGAGGCACGCAGCACGTGCAAGCACGGCGAGAGCGGCTTCTCCCGGCCCGGCTGCCGATTCCCGCCGAGCCGATGCCTCTCGACCGCCGACCCGCCTTTTCGGTTCGAGTCTTGGCTCCCCCAGGGCCGAGGCGACCGAGGCACGGCGAGAGCGGCGCGGGGGGAGGCGGAGAGGCACGGAGGCGGGGATGGGCGGCGGCGGCGCGCCCCACGCCGCGTGCGGAGGACCCGGGCTCGCTGGCCAACCTCGACCAGGAGGGGGGCGCGCCGGCGCGGCAGGGCCTGCAGTGGCCGCACGTGGGCCCTGCCCTCAAGTCGGGCATGGCCTCCTGGCAGGGGGGGCTGTTCAAGAATAGCCACACCAAAAATTCTGGGGACGATTTGTTTCGACCATTTTTGCTTATTGTTTCTGTTTTGGGGGAATCTTATTCGCATTTCTCGTCCAAAATCCGCCTGTAGGAAGACATGCCCGGCCTAACCCCTCCCCACGATTTCTTAGGGGGGTGGGGGTTCACTCCACTCCGGGCCTCCTGAACGAAATGACCCCTCCCCCCTTAGAGATCGTGGGTGGTGGGGGTAGGGTTTACATGTGGTCACCAATGCACCGCAGTCGCGGGGGGAGGGGGGGTCTGGGACGCGTTCCTTCCCGTCCCTCGATCCTACTGGTTGTGCGACAAGCTCTCGCTTGAAGGCCAACACGACAGGGCAAGCTCGCATTGCATGTACAGACCTGCTCGGATCACCTTATGCCGTCTTGCCTGGCCGGGTTTTGTGATGAAGTTTCCTCTAGGAACACCTGGGCTATGGGACGTTTGGCAAGTCGCCCTCGTCGCCCTCCTCGAGCTTTGGGTGCAGGGCCTGTCGTAGGCCACTTGTTGGGAATGGATAGCGCTGCCCTACCCCTTTTCTTGTTCTGACCCTCTCGAGCATCCGCCCAGTGGGCAGTGCGGCACTACCTCCGCTGCAGGCGCAGGGATTGGGAATTGCTCTGTCCCGCTCCCTTCGCCCACCTCCCCTGCCTTTACAGTGTCCCAGAGTAGAGGGGTCTGGGTCTGAGATGCGGTGCGCCTTCGTGTTGACGCGGGCCGTGGAGGTCCCTCTTGAGTCGATCGTCCCACAGACTTGCCCGATGTGCGTTTCGGATGCTGCCAGCGCCGAGTGCAAGTTCACCATTCTCCCCGCGCAGCAGTGTGCGCCAGCAGACAGAAGTTGCCTGGAGTCAACTCAACTCGGATCCTCGTTGGAATACCTCCTTCCTCCTCCTCCTCCTTTCTCCTCCCTCGTATCCTAATCCTTCCTCCTTCCCGAAGTGAGGCAGGGGTCTAATCTCCCGACCTCGGCACGCTGTGCCTTCTCCTCCTCCTCCTCCTCCTCCTCCTCCTCCTCCTCCTCCTCCTCCCAGCGCCAGCTCGGCCCGAGCCCTGCGCTCCCGTCGCCGAGCCATCGCCACGGGGCCCCCCGCCCTGCCTTCGCCTCCCTCTTCCCTCCCGCGCGCCGCCGGGATGGAGACGCCCGCGTCCGCGGCGCCGCGCCAGCGGCGGCCCAATCGCACTGCGGCTGGGAGACGCGCCCAGGATTGGCGGGCGGACGCTCGGGCCGCCACACGCCTGCGGCGCTCGCCGAAGTCGCCAGCCACCGCGGGTCCGCAATCTCCCGCTTCGGGGCGGCCATGGCCCATCCCCTGGAGGCGGTGCGCGAGCCCGCGCCCAGCGGCAGCGGCGGGCTTGGCAGCCGTGCGCCGCCCGCAGCTGGAGAGACCGTCACGGACGTGGCCGAGGCTGCAGCACCAGCCGAAAAGGAGGCGGACGCGGCGGACGCACAGTCGGAGGATCGCGCGAGCGAGCACGACGAGGCGGCGGAGCGGGCCTTGTGGTGTGCCGACGTCAAAGGCCTCGTCGAGGAGCTTCGTGCGCTTCGCGGAGACCGAGGCGATCTTCGCGGTCCTGCAGACGGCCGCGCCGCGCCCACAGATGGGGTAGCGGGCACCGCTGCAGCGCCGCCGGACGGGCCCGCTGATGGCGCCGAGGGCGCGGCCCCAGGGCCCCTACGGGGGATGACTGCCCAACCGCTGGCCGCTGCGGCGAGCTGGGCAGGCGACGCGGTGTGCTAATGGTTTCTCGGCGACATGGAGGTGTCGCGAATCCCGAGGCGGTCCGCGGTGAACACTAGCCCAAGGATCGATTTGGGCGCAGTGGCAGGACCCGTTCAGCCGACGCCCGCGGGGACTGTGGCGAGGAACATGCCTCCCTCGGGCGAGGCATGCCCGCTCCAGTGACGTATCTCGTGTGGCTGGCGGGCGTGCTGGCGCGCAGCTGGTTCAAGTTTTGATCTCAATTTTGTGGGGTGTCGGCCACCTCCTCCCTTGTGTTCGGCCCCATCGCCGCACGCGTTGAGGAGCTCGTCGGGCGCCTGGCCACCGCCACTCCCCGCTCTGCGGAGGCCGCATGCCAGATCCGGAGGACTTCGCGGCGGACCCGCTGCAGCCGGGGTGCGCCACTCTGAAGGGTCGGCATTCCTGAGAGCTCCTAATGGGGTGCGGGCCCGCCCCATACCCTGGACGGGAGCCCCATCGGGGGCATACCTGGGAGAGGGGCTACAGGGGCCGCGGTCAGGGGCCCCCACGCCCAGCGCCGCGCAGAGGTGCGCCGCTTCGTCCGCGGTGTTCGCGGGGATGAGTGCGGCGGGCGCGAGAGACCGCGCTCGACCGCGTCTCGGTGTTCTCCAGCTCCTCCTCCTCCTCCTCTTCCTCCTCCTCCTCCTCCTCCTTCCCCTCCTCTCCCTCCTCCTCCCTCCTCCTCCTCCTCCTCCTCCTCCTCCTCCTCCTCCTCCTCCTCCTCCTCCATCTCCACCTTCCCGCCAAGGCCAGAAGACAGCCTGTCTGGATTGGAGGCTTATATTCCGAGCCCCCCACCAAAAGCGGGCCACTTCTCCCCCTGGCCAGCTGCTGCCCCGGTTCTCACGCGGGCCCAGCCCTGCAGCTCCAGAGGCGCCCGCTGGAGGCTCGACGATGCGTGCCCGCTCGGCGCCCTCGCGCCTGGAGTGCCCGGAGGCCCCCGTGCCCCCCCCGCGCTCGCTGCCCCGAGCGCCGCCTGCACGGTTTGACCCGGGGCCGTAGGCGACCCGAGGAGGAGGAGGAGGAGGAGGAGGAGGAGGAGGAGGAGGAGGAGGCGGAGGAGGAGGAGGAGGAGAGAGGAGGAGGAGGAGGAGGATGGTGGAGGAGGAGGAGAGGAGGAGAGAGGGGGAGGGGGAGGAGGAGGAGAGGAGGAGGAGGAGGAGGAGGAGGAGGAGGAGGAGGAGGATCAGGAGAAGTAGGCGGAGCCGGGCCGCTCGGCGCCCCTCGCCCCTGGAAGTGCCCGAGATGCTCACCGTGTCCCCCCTCTAGGCGCTTGCTGTCCCGAGCGCCGCCTGCCGAACACAGTTTTCCCCCGGAGCCGGGGAGCCGTAGGCGACCCCGAGGAGGAGGGAGGAGGAGGAGGAGGAGGAGGAGGAGGAGGCGCGACCAGATCGAAACGAGTGCGCAGAGACGGCGGGAGGAGGAGGAGGAGGAGGAGGAGGAGGAGGCGCGACCAGATCGAAACGAGTGCGCAGAGACGGCGGGCAGCAGAGGGCACGAGCAGGGAAAAGGGGCTAGGGCGCACAACACGACGACATAAAAAGAGACAGCCGACGGCGGAGGCCGACTGCAGCAATGCACACGTCAGGGGAGGCGTGCAAGCAAAACACTGGCGGAGCACCGCGGGGCTCCGAGCGGAAGAGCACAGGATTGCCCAAGGCAGTCATGGCGCCAGGGCTGGCCGCAGGGACGTTACCCTGCAGTCAGCCACGGCGCGCCAGCACGAGGCGGAGACGTGGCAGCCCGAAGCGGTGAGCGCAGACGCGAGGGGCCCCCAACGGCACCCCCCAGCCTGCGACCACTACCTCGCCCCACCCTTCCCCGCCAGACTGGCAGACGAGCAGCAGCGGCGGCAGCACTCACACGGAAAAATACTCAGGCCGAGAACGTCCGACGCCTGGACGACATGTCCGCGAGAGGCTGCATGTCCCAATCGAAGGCGGGGTCGCAGTGCGCCTTGCAGTGGCCACGGCTATCACAAATGGCACACGGAATGAAGCCGTCCGCAATATCCTCCCAGAGGTCGTCCAGGAAAGCCACGCTGCTGGAACGCACAAAATACCCAAAGCACCGCAGGAGGTGGGCGTCGGCACTCCTGGTACCGATCGGCGACGGAGCACCCCCATCGCCGCCAGAGGCGGTGGGGACGCCGCTGGCAACAGCCACGGCAGCAGCCTGCTCGTTCTCCTTCACTTCAACCAACATCCTCAGACGGGTGATCTGGGCCGCCAGCTGCCGATAGCGGCTCTGGATGCCGAGGAGGGCGTCGGTGCGGTCCCGCAGGGCGGCGCCCTCGACCACTCGCCCGCAAGGCGCGGGGTCAGGAACGCCAACAACTCCAGGAGCGGCACGGCGGGATTGGACTGCACCAGCACCGGCTCCAGGAAGAGCACGACCAGGAACACCACCATCAGCACCAGGTGAGACGCCTCCCCCAAGGTCAGCGTGGGCATCACCAGGAACACGGCGGGCGTCACGGAGACCACCAGCACTATCATGAACTTGATCCCCACTGGACGCCCGAGCATGGTGACCGCAACCGCGAGGGAGAAGGTCATCCCGAGGCCCAGCATCGGCACGGGGAAGGCGTATGGCGGCCAGGGAGTCCAGGGAGCCCTCCTCCAGGGAGTCCTCCACCAGGGAGTCCGTCGTGCCTCCGACCCGTTCGGAGACGAAAGGAACGGCACAGGAACGAAGCACGGCGCGACCTCCAGGATGCCGATGACCGCCCACATCAGCGCGGAGGCCTCCAGGGATGTACACCGCCGCATGGCTGCGCAGTGGTGTGCTCGGAGCCGCCGCGGCCAGAAGGTGCCCAACCAGGGCAGCGCCAGCGGCAGCGGGCATGCAGGTCAGGGACACGATCTCGGGGGCCACGGCCACGGCATCCTCGCGACCAGGAGTGGCAACCGGTGCGCCGTCAGCGCCGCCAGGAACTGCATCGCCAGGAGCGGGGCGCGCATGGCGGAGCAGCCCAAGCAAGCCGCACGCGCCGACCTGCGCGCGCCGCACCGCCACGCACCTCGCGCGCGCGCGGCGGGCGGCCGCAGGGGTCGCACCCAGTGGGCGACACGGCTGCGGCGACAGGGGAGATGCACCAGGCCACGCACAGCGGGCGCCTGGCGACTGGGCTCGGGAGGCAAAACGGCCGAATCCAAAACGCTGGCGGCACAGCACCTATCCCGAGCTGGAGGAGGAGGAGGAGGAGGAGGAGGAGGAAGAGGAGGAGGAGGAGGAGGAGGAGGAGGAGGATAGGAGGATAGGATGATGATGCGATGATGATGATGAGGAGGAGGAGGGGAGGGAGGAGGAGGAGGAGGAGGAGGAGGAGGAGGGGGAGGAGGATTATGAGGAGAAGGAGGAGGAGGAGGAGGAGGCGGATAGGACGAGGAGGAGGAGGAGTAGGAGGAGGAGCAGCAGCAGCAGAATCAGAAAAAGGAAGAGGAGGAGGAAGGAGGAGGAAGGAGGAGGAACAATAGGATGGGGGGGGCTACGTTCGACGAGCCTTGCAGCTATCAGGAATCAGGAATCAAAAAGGGAGGATGAGAAAGAGAAAGAGGAGGAGGAGGAGGAGAAGGAGAAAGAGGATGATGAGGAGAGGGAGGAGGAGGAGGAGGAGCAGGAGGAGGAGGAGGAGAAGGAGGAGGAGGAGGAGGAGAAGGGGGAGGAGGGGGAGGAGGAGAAGGAGCAGCAGCTGAAGAAGGAAGAGGAGGAGGAGGAGGAGGAAGAGGATGATGATGCTGGTGATGATGATGGTGATGCTGATAATAAGAATGATGGTGATAATGCTGATGATGAAGATGATGAGGAGGAACAGGAGGAGGAACAAGAGGAGAAGGAGGAGGAGAAGAAGGACAATGATGACGAAATGAAGAGTTCAAGGAGAAGGGGGATGGAGGCGTCGAGGAAGAAGAGGAGGAGGAGAAGGATGAGGAGGCGTTGAGGAGGAAGGGGAGGAGGAGGAGGAGGAGGAGGAGAAAGAGAAGAAAGA